ACAGTTCTTCATTTTAATTATTGTATTGTTTTTAAGTGTGTTTTTTTTTGCACTACAAATACAATATGTTCAGTGTGCATAGGAATTCATTCATTTTTTTCCAAATTATAATCTGGTCCTCCAACAGTTTGAGGGACTGTGACCTGGCCCTCTGTTTAAAAAGTTTGAGGATCCCTTTTCTAAAGCTTCAAGTATTTTTTAATCTATGTACTTCCTCCAAATCTTTTTAAACTGGGTGCATTTAAAAAATAGACATGTTCTTCCTGTTTAATTATTAATTTCTAATTGAAATTATTTTGACATCACTCAACCATAACACCATAGGAAGCAACATGGCTAAAAATTTTAAGAGAGCCAAGTAAGTTAAACTTTGGGGGGGGGGGGTAAGAAATGGGCCCTAAGCCAGAGATCATGCTCCCATTGCAATAGAGACTAGAAAAATAAAAATAGCATAGTGGGCAGAGGAAATGAAGACGGTCAGGTACAGAGTATTAACATGAGATTTAGTAGTACAGGCATGCCTTGCTGGAGAAATCCTCTGACAAAGATGCTCCTTTTTACAAAGTCTTTTTATACGCACTCTGACCAGGAGAGGTCGTCCTTCTAGTTGTATGTTACTTACTAGTACTGACATTGTAAAGATGTTGATGAAAGGCTTGAAGAACATAGACTGTTGGTCATGAGTGCATTGGTGTGCCTGGAGTTTTGGGGAAAATGTTTGCTGAAACTCAAATTGCTCGTCTTTTTGTGATGCAGGACGCTATTATTTCCATATTGTGTTAAAGGAGTAAAAGACAGATACACATCTACTTTGTTAACTGATGAAATACTGAAATAGTTAGGGGACAGTGGAACAAACACATAACCTGATGGAAAACAGATGACACTTCTAGGAGTCTGGTGGCAGTTATGAGTAGAAACTTTTGGGATTTGGACTATAAAGAAGGATGCCATGGGATAATTTCTGGAGGGAATAGGACAGAGATCATGTTGAATCAGACATATCGTTATTGTTGTTTAGTAGGTCAAATTGAGTCCGGAAAATCTTTGTCTCTCAGGGTTTTGCTGGTGACTGCAATAAAGATTCAAACATGCAATCTTTGTAATCTGAAGACTTTGGCACTAAAAACTTAGTAAATCCTATAGATGGAACATTAATAAAAAATCTCATTCTTTTTAGTATTTGTGGTATTTGATAAAATCTTTAAAATGCTGCCATGGTGTATTAAATCTGAAGTGGAGAAAGAGCAGTAACTATTCATCTGTTCTGTTAGTAATTCCCACCTCCCTAAATATTCTCTATTTAGAGGGTGGACAATACTTGACTCACAGTTTTGATGTGAGTCTGCGGCTGGCAAAACAGCTCACTTTCCTTTATTCTGATCTTCTCTTCTGAAATGCCCTGTGCCTTTCCTTCTCTGCTTCAGTTTCAAAGCTGGTATGTTTTTGCCAGGATTGTGTGGCTGGGCAGGCTCCTGCTGCTTTAATTAGAAATGGCTGTTTTTTAAACTTTTTATGATGTGCAGGACTTGCCTGAAGGGTATTCTTGTTTCCTAGTGTGTTCTTCACTCTCTTACCCATTAGTAACACATTGTGCCCATCCTCCACCCACTGAAGTACTCCAGCCAATTTGAGGGTTGGTGTTTTTTTCCTTTGGTTCCATCAGTCACCTTTCTTCAATCAGCTTGTTCCTGGCACATGAAATCCATGCAGGAAGTAGCATAAAGGGGGTGAGGAAACATCTCAAAGGTGGTAACTCTTATCAAAAAGGAGCCATCCCTTCTCTAAGTAGAGTGGTGAAAGATAAGAGCTTAGTCCATCCCAAGAGAACCTAAAAGAAGCACTGACTCTCTTTGGTGCAGCATTGCGTTTGACCTTTCTGAGGTTTTTCGCTGCTTTCTCTTCGCTGACTGACTACGTTTAGCTGTCTGCAGGTGGCTAACTGGAAGGAAGGATAAGAAGGGGGCACAAGTGTACTGGCTGTGTACAGCTGAGGGCAAACAGACCACAAAGAGTCTTCCTGGGAAGGCCTACTGTAAAAGAAGTGGACTCTTCCCTAGGCAGGGTAGTGCCAAAGATCCATAATTTCCACTTTTTTTCCTGCAGAAGCAGCCTTTCTGTGAATTTGGTTTGACCGATGCGTAAGTCAATTACATTTGAGGGGTATCTGGGGGGGGGGGGGGAGTCCCTGATACATTAATTGGTTCACCATGTTGCAAGAATTAAAAGAGACAATAATTTTCCTAGTAGCAGACTATTATGTATAGGCTGGCATCCTATTGATTTGTTTCAGCTGGAGTTGAGCCATTCAGTCAATTGTTGAATGGTGTATCAACAAGTATATAAATCTATTGAATGTAAACTTTTTCCACTTGCAACCCTTTTAAGTATGACAAATTTTTATCACCACTTCAGTGATCTTTACACTCAAGGATCTTATCTAGTTCCTCCTGGCTAACTTTCCAAATCTTACTCATCATATTATTCCATTTATTGAACCAAGGTTCAGAAATATTTTAATATTTTAATATTCTTTTCATCCTCATTTATGTTATGTCAATAATCAGTGGTTATTATTTTTGTTTTCAGCAGTAACCTTGTTTTTGAACTTCCTTCCTTGACTTTCGTTAGTAGTAAAAGCCTTTGGTGCTTTTAGCTAATTTGGCATCATCTGCATATTTAAAATTGTTGATGCTCCTTATCTCAGTTTTCATACCTCCTCCTTCTAAATCTATTCCCTTATTGCATTTGATAAGTATCTGTAAGTAATTAAATAGGCAGGATAGTAGAAATTAACCGTGTCTGGCTCTTGCAAATTGAGAACTATTTTATTCCTCAGTGGGCTGTGGTAGGTTCTCCATCTTTGTAGTCAAATACTGTGGTATGCCCTTTCCTTTAGGGCTCTCCATAGGTTTTTCATAATGTATACAAACAAGGTTTTTGGCATAAGTTAAAAAGCGGATACTGTTTTTCTTCTCAAACATTTTGATATGCTATTTGAGCCAATGCAAATTTGTAATAAGATCCTAGGTGGCTCTTGCTTTTATGAATCCAGTTTGGAGAGCTGGCATTTCCCACTGGGTATATGGCAAAATTATTTCTTGTAAAATCACTTGATGAGCTTCCCTATTGGTCATATAGTATTTCTTCCTGTTGATGGCCGTCACAGTAACTTCAACATGTGACAACCCTGTGAATAAGATCTTTAAGTCACCTGTTATTAACAGGGCTGCTCGAATTTTGGAAACTGAGGTTCCTCGTTTCCTTCATTGAGTTTTCCTCTTTTCCTAATGCCTTCTATTTTATCAGATATTGCTGTCATTTCTAGTGAGTCATGTTTTTTCATGATACTCCAAAGTATGACAATCTCCGTTTAATCATTTTGGCTTCTGATAGAGTTTAGACTTCCACAACAAGAAAAACATTTTGTAAATGTAAAAGTAAGGTAGATTTTGTTGACTCCTGGTATCTAGAAAACTATCAAGTTCTAGCCATGCATGTTCTTGGAATCTAAGCAGTTGTTCAACATTATGCCTTCTTTTCATGTAAAAACACAGCCATTCGGTTTTTCAGAAAAGCCATAAATGTTGCCTTGATTATTTCCAGTTAATGAATGAGGTCCAGCTTCCTTGTTATTTGTTCCACATTCCCTGAATGGTCTTAGCCAATTTTGCAGCATTGGCTTCCCTTTCCCAACCTGCACCTGCAATATAGGGATAGTAGTGGTTCTGCAAAAATTGCCAGGTGTGTGGTTCACATTGAACAGTTGTCTGTTCCACAAAAATAAACAGGTTACCAGAGGGGGGAAAACAGTTCTTTAGCTGGGAAATACACATTCTGTATTGAGAAAAAAATGCTGTAACATTTATAAATTAGACAAACTGAACATATTTACAAGAGTTCTCCTTTCTGGAAATCTATCCTTCCAGTGTACTTTTCTATAATTTATTGCTACTTTGCTACTAATATGAAGGGATCTTGCAGCTGTGCAGGATACGATTTTCCCAGGCTTACTGGAAATTGTATTCCGTACCCTAAATAATGGTTCCTGGCTTTTAGCATTCAGCAAGTGCTGTTACAATAAGCATGAATTAATTAATTATTTTTCTGGTTTTGCTGTTTTGTGCCTAAGACTCCTTGCAGTTTTCCTACCTCTCAAAATGTTGCATCTTCTGCCTTGTTGCCTGATGATTGCACCTTTCCCAGATTGCAAGTCCAGAGACTACCAGTAACTGGCAAAACGAAAACCTTTTTTATTTTGGCAGGTTGTCAGATCAGCTGTTGGGAAGGGGTGGATTTTCCGCTCTTAACGGTTATTCTGTCTGCGTTGAGGTGAATGTTTCCAGAAACACTGATAGGTTAAAAAATGCCCTCTTTGTTGCACCAGTATAGGATTCTGACTTATGTCTCCCCAGCCCTCATTCAACAATCTCTTCTTTTATAAACTAAGGAGTATCACATATCTGCTACATAATAAAGAAACCAAATCCTGATTAAGCAGGGTCAGCGCTGGTTAGTATGCAGATGGGTGAACACCAATAAATACCAGGTGCTATAGACTCTATTTCAGAGGAAGGAACTAGCAAAACCACCTCTAAAGCCCCTTCCACACAGCTGAATAAAATCCCACATTATTTGCTTTGAAGTGGGATATATGGCTGTGTGGACTCAGATAACCCAGTTCAAAGTAGATATTGTGGGTTATCCTGGCTTGATATTCTGGGTTATATTGCTGTGTGGAAGGGCCCTAAGTATCTCTTACCAGAATTTGGATCTACACTGCCCTATATCCCAGCATCTGATCCCAGATTATCTGTTTATCCCAGATTATCTGGCAATGTAGACTCATATGATCCAGTTCAATGCAGTTAATCTGGATCAGATCTTGAGATATAGCGCAGTGTAGATCCAGCTTAAGCCTATGAAGTTCATGAGGAAGCATATACACAAGTCAACATACACATACATTAGTGTAATAATTGTTTTTGCATTGTTTTCAGGATTACAGCCCATTTACTGGAGCAGGGATGACGTGGTCCATTGGTTGAAGTGGGCTGAAAAAGAGTTTTCATTGAGACCCATTGACAGCAATACTTTTGAGATGAATGGTAAAGCGCTTTTGCTTCTCACCAAAGAGGATTTTCGATATCGGTCTCCACATTCAGGTGAGTTGTTTATGTACTGAGGAAGGAAGAGTGCTGTCATTTTTTCAGTTTATACTATACTTTCAGTTTCAGTTGGTTTATGTCTTAACAAGCCTTGGTTAGCATTAATCAGGATTTCAAGAAGTGAGTTACAAAATAAATTCTGTTTCACCAAAAGTGGATGGGAGAAAAGATTCTAATCTTGCACCTTGACTGGAGAAGCATGTATGCGCTGGAAGAGATTAAGTAGATTCATTTTGATCTATAGCCTCATGGTGTCTACATATTCAGGCCAAAGTTTGTAAAAGTATACAGATCAGAAAACAGTGTACAATGACAATATGTTAGATGTTGTATGTCAGTAATTTTACTAATACAATATATAGACCAATCTTCTACATTCACAAACTGTACATATGTTAAATGTAAATATCCATGTATGTTTCTTTGTTTTGTATGGAACAACCTTCCCTCATTTGAACATTCAACTGGAAGCTGATATGATGTGGCTCAGTCTGAGAATAATACCCTTTTCTAGCCTTGTATAGCTTAATGATGTGCTTAAGCTGGCTATTTCTCTTCCAGGTGACGTGTTGTATGAGCTTCTTCAGCATATCTTGAAGCAAAGGAATTCTCATGTCCTCTTTTCGCCTTTTTTCCACCCTGGGAGCTCCATCCATTCTCAGCAGGATATCATGTTACATCAAAACCATGATGAAGGTAATGACAAATACCTGTGCTTCTTTTTATATATGAAGGTGTGTTACTTAAAGACTTTGTTTGATGTTGTGAATTCAAAAAGAACAGTTTAAAGGAATAGTGGTTCTCAACCTTTGGTTCTCTACGTGTTTTGGACTTTAGCTCCTGCAATTATTTTAATATACAAACAGTCCTTTTCAGAGTTGTGTTAAAATAGCTCACTACCTTATCAGTTGAGAAACATTCTGGCACAAAATTGGCAGACTCCGAGGAAGGGAAATCTTACCAAGAAACCCCTGCAATAGGTTAGCCTTAGCCAAGCATGACTTGAAGGCACAGCAGCAGCAACAAAGGTAGTTTTGGGTGAGAGATAAAGACTGGACCAAAGTCACACAGTCATTATAGAAATAGTTTGGACTCTGGTTTCCCTAACTGAAGTTCAGCCATCTACTCTACTCCTCACTCTACTCTCTCAAACTCTGATTCTCAAGAAGCTAATTCCTATTTTGCTTTAATATGGACTAAGCATACTTCAGCTTCTTTCTTTTTGACAGCCCACCACAAATAAGGGAGATCCCTATAGTAGTGTAAGTTCCTCTCTTATACCAGGTAGGGTTGCCAACCCAGTTGTTAAAATGTTCAGGGTTGTCATGCCACCTCCATTGGAGGCCCAAAAGAGTTTGTGGGTCCTTAATCATTCCCCAACATTGTCTCAGATCTGACTCAATAGTCCTACTTTGCTCCATTTTCTTGTATTCTCCAGGAATTTCATGAATACTTTTGATCCTTTCCCCTCAGATTTGCTCCCATCCACTCCAATTATAGTTTTAATTTTGCATTTTAAAGACTTCTTTTGATGGAAATTAAAAGCCAAGGAAGAGCATTTTGTTTAATTATGGATTACTTCCAGCTACAGACTCTGGGCAGTGAAGGAAAGACTTTGTGCCAAGTGTTCATAGGCAGGTAATGAGTTCTTCTTGTGTACTTTGACTCACTTGCACTACTTCTTTCCTGTCATCCGGTGCCTGGCAGAGGAACTCATACAACTAAATATAGCACCATACTGTTGCTTGTTATTTTTACGTAATTCTTCATTGCATTCCTTTGATATGTTTATGTTCTAGTAGTTCAGAATGAATGGTCATATGAGGGGAAAAAAAGATAGTTGGGTTGTTGTAGGATTTTTCAGGCTATATGGCCATGTTCTAGAGGCATTATCTCCTGACTTTTCGCCTGCATCTATGGCAAGCATCCTCAGAGATAGTGAGGTCACCTCACTACCTCTGAGGATGCTTGCCATAGATGCAGGTGAAACGTCAGGAGATAATGCCTCTAGAATATGACCATATAGCCCGAAAAAAACCCTACAACAACCCATTGATTCCGGCCATGAAAGCCTTCGACAAAAATGGATAGGTTTATTAGTGACCAGTCAGATACAAAGTTAGCTTTGCAAATTCGTACTCGGAGTGGTTTCCATTTTCTTCTTACTTTGGGGAGCTACCACATCATGGGGCTACCATAGTACAGGATAATTATTAGTGTTCCCACAAGTTTTCAGATTGCAAGAGCATATGCAGGTATGTCTGCAGCACATCTACACTGCATTTATTGCAGTTTGATGCTAGTTTCAGACTGTGGTGACTAGACAATAAACTTCCACAAAAACACACAAAAGAAAGCCCTAAATATGCACCAGTGCTCTCTGGTTTATGAAATCATCACCTGAGCTTCAAACTGGTTCCAGGATTTCATCTGCACAGTAAAACCACTTCAATGCAGTTTGAAACTGCTTTAAAATGGTCAGTGTAGATGTGCCCAGTGATGCTCTTTTCTCCTCTTTGTTTGATATAAAAAGAAAAATGAAATTCTTTAGTAATACCTGCATTGACTTAAGGATATGAGATTGAATTGTAACACTAGATCCTATTAGTACAGACACATTAAATCAGTAGGATTTATGTAAGTGTTGATTGATAAAGTTGATTGAATGAGTTTGTTTTGGTTGGAATTATTAATTACATTCAGTCCATAGAGATGTTTTTCATCTAACGACTCTCCACAGTACTGCATGCAATATGTTGGAATTACATGTAATGTTATTCCTGAGTAAATACCTTGACATTTTTTCCTTCTAGACAGAATCAGCTTTATTATAGAGGTTGTTCATAGTAGGTGGCAAATGCACTACATGCATGTAAGCCTTTTTGCTGAATCATAGATGAGATTGTATGCTGTTCCTACTGATAATGTATAGGTTGCTTACTAGCCAGTGGGAGTTTCATTGAATCATTGTTACCCTTACTCTGGTTATCTGATTATTTAGCTCATTGAGGTTGTCATGCAGATTATCTGTAACATAATCGTCATTAAAGCATGGACAGTATAGAAAATGTATATTTTCTTCTTAGAGCAAAATAAGGGACCACATTTGTGACAAAGAGTCTTTCATGAACCAACTGTCCAGGAGCCACATGACTGTGAAAATAATGTTTGCTCCCTTGTGGTTGGTTGAAAACTGCAATGGAGAACTCCATCCTGCCAGCAATGAAAGGTATCAATTGAGTGTAACTCCTGGACAAAATCAAAATAGGTCTTTCGCGACAACGGAAACATAAAATGAGTAATAGATAAGTTGCAGTTATAGCATCTCAATATATCTTGCATGTAGCAGGCATTGTTATAAAATCAATGCAGGTGTAAGTTGCAGGTAATGACATGATTCACCAGGAATGGGAGGATTCAAGGAAAAGCTCTTCAATGAAAATTCTTACATACAGAAAGCTAACATGTCAGTAAAAAGTCTGGGTTAGAGGCCATTTTTCTGCCATCTGTATTTTTCTTTTTTCTTTTTTTTTTTGTCTGTCTTCAATCCCACATGTGAATCCTTTCTCTGCACAGAATATTGTTTTCTTTGTGGAGGAAAATGTTTTTATAGGGCAGCAATTAATTTGTGGACAAATACTATAAATCTATATATAAATGCTCTGTGCATAATGAGTACCTTAAAAACAAAAGAACCAATAAACGAAATCACACCAAATTTGGCAACAAAACGTCGCACAACACAAGGAGTGACCATTACTCAAAAAATTATGATTTTGTCATTTGGGAGTTGTAGTTGCTGGGATTTATAGTTCACCTACAATCAAAAAGCATTCTGAACTCCATCAATGATGGAATTGAACCAAACTTGGCACACAGAACTCACATGACCAACAGAAAATACTGGAAGGGCTTGGTGGGCATTGACCTTGAGTTTGGGAGTTGTAGTTCACCTACATCCAAGGAGCACTGTGGACTCAAACAATGATGGATCTGGACCAAACTTGGCACAAGCCCTCAATATGGCCAAATATGAACACAGATGGAGTTTGGGGGGAAATAGACCTTTACATTTGGGAGTTGTAGTTACTGGTATTTATAGTTCACCTATAATCAAAGAGCATTCTGAACCCCATCAACGATAGAATTGGGCCAAAATTCCCACACAGAACCCCCATGACCAGCAGAAAATGCTCAAGGCCATCCAGTCCAACTCCCTTCACCAGGGCAAGAAAACATAATCAAAGCCCTCCTGACAAAGAGCCATCCAGCCATAGATATAGATAGATATGATTCACACACACACAGATATAGTATCATAAATTTGAAAGGGACCCCTGAAGAAGGACAATTATATGTTGCATGTTCCAGAGTAAGGAAAACCAGACACTCTCCACATCAACACTGACAAAGAAACGGCAAGAAATGCTGTTTACCTACAAGCATAAAGAAAATACATATATTAGAAACCAACACTTTTTCATTACTTTATTTTCCAGGTCAATAGACTGGGTCACAGCAACGCATGGCAGGGTATAGCTAGTACTGTTATAAGTAGCTTGATTTTAAAGCCCAGATGAAGCTTCGGAAAGTTTTAAATCAGTTTTTCAAGACAGCTGGTTCAAAAGAGTATGAACTTTATTCAGTTAATTCCATTGACTCACCTGGATATGAAATCTGTTTAAACATTTTCTCTGCCCCCTCCTCCCAAATCCAAATTTATAATGTTGTTCACTCACCGCAGACAGGGCCTGGCACTTAAGCTTCACTTCCTTGTGGCCATTTCTATATTACTGACATCAATAGTCAAAGACAGACCTTTCTTGTTTCTGGCTTTGGCCATGTGAATCATAAAATCCACATCAGTGTTGTTTCCTCCTCAGCCTTAACAAGGAAACTAGTGGTTGCTGGCAAAACATCTTTGGAGGTGGACCTGATTGAATGGGCAAGGAGTCAGCCTGAGGTCACTGAACCACTGCTGGTGAGATCCCGTTTCCCCACCAGTGTGAGGTCTTTGTAGTCCCTTACAGAGTTGATGGTGTTATTTTGTTTGTAGTGTTTTGTACAAGACACCCCTTTTTGACAGACTTTTAAAGAGACAACCATTGTTACAGATGAAGAAAGTGGAGGAGCATAGAGAATTGCTACCAATTCGTGGCAGTGCAAGGCAGTCTCAATGGGCAGATTTCAGGTTTTATGAAATTGCTTTAAATTCATGTGTGTGTGTTTGCACTCTTGATTTGCCTGTTGATTTATGAATTTCATGGGTTTTCTTAGGCAAGGAATACTCAGAGGTGGTTTTACCAGTTCCTTTCTCTGAAATCTACCCCACAGCATTTGGTGTTCCCTGGTGGTCTCCCATCAAACTACTATTCAAAGCTGATCCTGTTTAGCTTCCAAGATCAGGCAGAATCTTGTGCCATTTGAGTATCTGGTCCCTAGAAATTCTTGATTTGATGAAATAAATATATAGAGAGAGTGAGGGGGGATTTTTGTGTGTAAGGTTAAGTCTGGCTTTGTAAACAAGTGATACAGAATTAGCTGCTTTAGTCTGGTGAACAGAAAAGTGAAGTATAAATATGGTGGTGATGGTAATGTACGTTTGGAATGAATTTTGCCTTTATTATGTTGGAATCCACCTTGAGTTACCTCAGGGGAAGAAAAGTGGTATATAAATGTATTTAAATAAATAAATAAATAAATGTTCAGTGATTAGACTGAATCAAAACATAAATGAATTTGGTGTGGATTTTGTCTCATCAGAACTTAATTCTGATGTTTCTGTTTCTGATTTGGCAAATTTCATGTTGATACTGTGTCTGGAAAGGTTCAGTTGAGCCAAGCATTCATTAGTGGCTTCTCAAGGAACAGGAAATACAAGATTTATTGAATAAATTGTTGTTGTTGTTGTTTCCCACTTTCTTAATTGAGACTCGACACACCAAAACAGTACAAATTACAATTTAAAACCTATGGCATATAAGCATCAAAACAGAACTGTTAAAAACAAATAGTTAAAATCACTTAAAATTGCAAAAATAATTAAAACACTACATAGCACCTCCTGGCTGTGCAGACTGTGGGATGGGGGCACCTGGTCAAAGTGATGGAATCACAATAGACCACTTCCACTCCACCTTCCCACCCCACAAGTCTCGCCTGCTTCTGTACAGAAAAACCTGGTGAGCAGAGCTGAGAGAGCTGGATGAGGCCTAGTCTCATCCATCTAGATCTCTGTAATACAGGGAGGGTCAGCATGCTTATTGAGAATCAGACTATGTATAGCAGTGTTTTGGGTTTTTTAAATTTACTGACCTGGCACTCAACAGCATTTTCAACCCAGGGAGACTGTCACCCTGGTTATCCAGGTTATTTGATCTGGGGGGTCTAAACCAAGGATTAACAGAGTTGCCACCACTTGGTATATGTTTCATCACATGTAACTATATCTGATTAGTAATAAATAATTGGCTAGATATGTAAGTCAGAATCCAAGTTATTATTGTTAACTCCCAGCATCATGTCCCAAATGCACTTTATTAGAGATTTAAGGTTGTCTGCACACCGCACCTACCTCTAAAAACCTATACATTTCACCTGTCATGTCCAGCACTTTTTAAATTTTATCCATTACATTTGGCCCAGCCTTAGTTTTAAATGCGTCGTGGTGTTATTGTTCTAATGTTTTTTTTGTTATTGCTTTAATGTTTATTGTTTTGCTTTATGAGTTTTATTGTTGTATTTGTTATGCTGTTGTTTTATGGAGGGCCTTGGCCTTTTGTAAGCCGCACCGAGTCCTTCGGGAGATGTTAGCGGGGTATAAATAAAGATAATAATAATAATAATAATAATAATAATAATAATAATAATAGTAATAATCACCTTTAATTGCTATTTATTTCAGTGGCAAGGAATGAAGCACATGTTTAATAGACACTACTGGGTGGAAGTACACTTAGCCATTGACGGCTAACACTGAGTAACAAAATTTGAAAAAAATATGTTCCTGTTTTGAAAGTGTTATTCCGGTTTAATTGTGCGGTACTTACTTCGAAAGTAGTTGTTCAACTCCAGAAACTTTGTTTTTGTGGCTGCCACAAACTATGTTGAATTGGTTGAGACTCTATGAAATATTCATTGAAAAACTATAGCAAAACATGTTGCAGGATGTCCCACAAAAACAAAGTATTTGCAGTTTAATAAACGGTTTCCATGTTTTTATGATATACTCAATTAGGAAATTACATTTATAACCCAGGAACAAACATCGTGCTACATAGTGTAATAGATTTTCATGTGTTTCATACAGAGCTGCATGATGTAGTGGTTTGAGCCTTGGTCTGTGATAGTAGCAACCAAGGTTTGAATCCCCTTCGGCCATGGAAACCTGCTGAGTGCAGGTCACATTCCCTTAGCCTCAGGCAGAGGCAAACTTCTTCTAGGAAACCCTCATAACAAGAGTTACCCCAGGGTCACCATAAGCTGGAAACAACTTAACAACAGTAATAGTATATATCGTAGACATATACAGTAGCCTTTCAATTAACTGGCATCCATGGACATTGGTAGATGTTGGATAAAAGTAGTTTCTGGTTGCTGGAGAGTTACTATGAAAAAATGGCCTAACTAGTATTATACCCCCTACTATCAACTCTGTATTGACTTGATATTAATATTGAAATACYGTAATTAAAAACAAATAAAGACAAACTTKACGTAAGATTTTACATGTACTCTGACAAAGATTGTTACCAGTTAWKCTTTAATTATCCATGTTTKTATATACAACTCTTTCTAGTTAWCMCCAAAGCAGKTCTGTTTTTTAAATTACTGTGTTGTTTTCATATTCMGTTCAATTTTTCAGAAGGCTGGAATATTCTCCACTRGTWAATACTTCCATCATGAGTTGGCTTATGTTCTTGATAATGAAACAGCTCTGATTACTAGCTTTTAACTCCTTTATRAAATTGTAGGAAATGCTATTTTAAGAWTGTGTATTAAACTYCAGCACTGATAGATTGCAAAATTCTGTTTTCTCYGGGTGCAYTCTTTTTAAAAATCAGATTGTGCCKTCAGAGCTAGGTGTGTCTTGTTGTTTTGCTTAGTCTTTATTAATACAGGGCTGTGTATCTGATGGGGGTTTAGACACCAACATTTAGAAAGTCTTTGCTCTTAAAACAGGAGAGGTATGCTCGAGAACCGTATGTATTCAAGCCTCGAGTACTGTATGTATTCATAGAAGCTCAAACTGTGACTGAATATTATTTTCATGGCCATTGCATTTTCAATTATTGCAAAAACAGGATAAATTTTAGAATAAATGATTCAAAATTAGATATATAGTGCAGAAAATTAACCTTTCCTTGTTATAGAATTTCAGTTTTTTTCTCATTAGAGTTTTAGAATTGTTTTTATCCTGTACATGTGACCCACCCATTGTTATTGTGATAGTGCTTATTGCAATGTTATTTTATGACTGTGTTTTTTTTCTTTCTTTTCTTTTTGATGTAAGTTGATGATGTTGTTTATTGTTTATGCTCTGGTTTTATTTTGTTGTATTATATTGTGCAGGCTTGGTCCCATGTAAGCCGCTCCGAGTCCCTATCGGGGAGATGGTAGCGGGGTATAAATAAATATTATTATTATTATTATTATTATTATTATTGCGTACACTACCCAAAGTCTCCATCGTAAGGTCAGTGACAGCTAGCAGTAAGGGGTTCACATATGTACATATTATTTGGCAACAACCTTATGAAGTATTTCTGTCCCTCAGTTTTTCAGACATTGCTGCATTTTTAAAAGAAACAGAAATAAATACAGGTAAAATGCTAATGGCTACCAGGAGCTAGACAACATTTCTTCATGGCTTGGAACACACTTTACTTGCCCATAATAACTAGTGTACTTTTTTTCTGTCACATGATATATATTTTTCCTTTCCTTGTTTTACAGACAGCTTTATCCAGAGACATTCAAGACAATCGATGGATGCAGTCCACCACAATCCACCTACCATTGAACTCTTGCATCGTTCTAGATCACCAATCAGTGCCAACCACAGGGTTTCACCAGAGATTGAGCAGCGGTCATTGAAATCACCACTGGAGAACACTATTCGTCGTCTCTCACCAGCTGATAGGCTCTCAGGGACAAGACACAACCAAGAGAACAATCACCAAGAGTCATACCCTCTCTCGGTGTCTCCTATTGAGAATAACCACTGCCCTACCCCTTCTGAAGTGCTTCCAAAGCCTTCCAGTCCGCGCCAAGAAAACACCAGGGTGATTCAATTGATGCCCAGTCCAATCATGCACCCTTTGATACTGAACAGCAGGCATGATTTCAAAGCCTCAAGATTATCCGAAGATGGACTGCACAGAGAGGTGAAGCCCATCAACCTGTCGCACCGTGAAGAATTAGCGTACATGAACCACATCATGGTGTCTGTCTCCCCTCCAGAAGAACATGCAATGCCAATTGGGAGGATAGCAGGTTAGTGTGTTGTGTTCTAGATTATAATGTCCCTATACAATCTGCCTCAGAAGATCCAAGGTCATATCCTGTGCATGGTAACCTTTTGTAATTTTTTTGTATGAGCTAATTTGATTTGAAACACAAACATCCATAGATTGCAATCAAGTTCATTGTTGGAGGGATTGGGTAAATAGAGATAGAAATTGACTTACCAAAGAACAAACAGCAGCAGAGACAATGTCCCCACCATTGCAACATTCCCTCACCACACCTGAGAGTGTAATAGATTCTGGATGCCACTTGAGATATTAAACTCACAGAAGGAACACAATCCACAAAGATGTTCTGTCCATTACAGTGGGGCTTATGACAATTTCCTGATGAATGATTGGTTTTTGCAAAGTGGTCCTATTTCTTCCAGTAAAAAAAAAAAAAGGTTTTCCTCCCTGAGATATATTTTCTACAAAGAAAAAAAGCCAAAAACAAAAATAGTTGGGCATCATGAGAGGGTTCAAGTGAAAGACAATGACATTTGGACTTGGTTGTAATTTTTTTTCGTGTCAGGACTTGAGAAACTGCAAGTCGCTTCTGGTGTGAGAGAATTGGCCATCGGCAAGGACGTTGCCCAGGAGATGGCTGGATGTTTTATCATCCTTGTGGGAGGCTTCTTTCATGTCCCCCCGCATGGGGAACTGGAGCTGACAGAGGGAGCTCATCCACACTCTCCCCAGATTCGAACCTGCGACCTGTCGGTCTTCAGTCCTGCTGACACAAGGGTCTGGAATTCCCCTGTTTTTTTAGTGTTGCTCTTTATTTACTGCCCTGGTTTTAGAGTTTTTTTAAATACTGGTAGCTAGATTTTGTTCATTTTCATGGTTTCCTCTTATCTGTTGAAATTGTTCCTATGCTTGTGAATTTCAGTGGCTTCTCTGTGTAGTCTGGCATGGTGGTTGTTCGAGTGGTCCAGCATTTCTGTGTTCTCCAGTAATATGCTGTGTCCAGGTTGGTTCATCAGGTACTCTGCTATGGCTGACTTCTCAGGGTGAATTACTTTACAGTGCCTTTCATGTTCTTGATTTGTGTTTGGCCAATGCTGCTTTTGGTGGTCCCTATGTAGACTTGTCCACAGCTGCATACGGTAGACTCCTACAAAGGTGGGAAGATTCCTCTTGTCCTTTGCTGAATGCAGCATTTGTTGGATTTTCTTAGTAGGTCTGTAGACAGTTTCTAGGTTGTGTTTCTTCCTCAGCTTCCCTATGTGGTCAGTAGTTCCCTGGATGTATGGTAAGAACACTTTTCCACTGGGTGGATCTTTGTCTTCACTCTCCTGGCTTGTTCTTGGTCTTGCAGCTCTTCTGATGTCTGTGGTGTATCTATTGGCCTGTAGAGCCCAGTTTAGGTGGTTCAGCTCACCTTGGAGGAGGTGGCGTTTACAGATTCTTTTTGCACGGCCTGCCAGTGCTTTCATTGTGCTTCTTTTCTTACTTAGGTGATGGTTGGAGTTTTTATGAAACTCTGAAAGTGCATCATCTTGTAAATTAAATAAATGAGATAAAGTGATAAAATTATTGTCTAGAACTGCCTACAGTCTTAATTGATTTGATTGAGGACCTAAAATCAGGCATTTAAAAACTGGAAAAAAAACCCTGTTTAACTGTAGTTTATTGTAGATTACGGCTGCTTCTGTAAGGTTGTGTATATATGTGTGGAGGAGTGATTTATCTCATTGGTTAATATGCATTCCCACATTTTATGGTCTTTAAGTTGGGATAACACCATGCTTCCAGCCAAACCAATTTGTAAAACAAATGGGCAGAAGAGATCGCGGTATATTATTGATTGCTGTAGTTCAGCCAAGCCATATTCAAAGATAGGTGTAAATGCATTTAAGTCTCCTTATTTGATTTGCAGCTTGATATAGTGTTTCAGAATATATATAATGTGTAGACAGAACATAATTGACTTTCCATGTAAATGATCCTTCATTTTAAAAATGGTCAAAAGCTTACCATTTCCAAAGCCGTAATTTACTATGGGTTCCTTATAGCCTAGTTCTCCCAAATTGTATCACTTCAGGATAGTAAAGAAAGGAGGAATGGGTGCTCCTCAATATCACAAAGAAGAACAAAGATACTTCATTGTAGAAAATCAGGAAGGAAGTATCTACCAGTATCCTTCATGTGAGGAGCCCCCGGTGGCGCAGTGGGTTAAACCACTGAGCTGCTAAACTTGTAGACTGAAAGGTCGCAGGTTCGAATCTGGGGAGTGGGATGAGCTCCCACTGTCAGCCCCAGCTTCTGCCAACCTAGTAGTTCAAAAACATGCAAATGTGAGTAGATCAACAGGTACCGCTCCGGTATGATGTTGAGGTAAGATGTAGTCATGCCAGCCACATGAACTGGGAAGTGTCTACAGACAACGCCACCTCTTCGGCTTACAAATGGAGATGAGCACCACCCCCCAGAGTTGGACACAACTAGACTTAATGTCAGGAGTAAACCTTCAACTTTACCTTATCCTTCATGTGATCCTCTTTTTCTACTTGTAAGAATTTGATTTCTTTTATTTATATGGCGGAACATTCAGAATTACATGAGCAGTACTTGCCCAACTAGGTCCTTTCAGCAGTGCCCAATAGCTATTGTAGAAAAAAAAAATGAGCTAAAGGGAAAAGTTGCATCCACTAACCACACAGTGTGCAGACAGAAGTAAAGGATTAGGAGAGATTATATGGCATGGGAGGTGTGGGCAAGGCTAGTTTGTCACTTGAGGAGTGTTCCTAGGCTTGCAGTAGCTGGTGGTGGTAGCACACATATTCCTTTATAGTAAACCTGCCTAGAGAGAGTTGCTCCTGGATCAAGAAGAACTGAAGGACCTTCTACCTGCACTTCCAGTGCTTTCTACACATCTTGGCCCCATTTTTCAGATAGACGTGGCTCTGAGAAAACGGTTCACAGAAAGTGCTCAAAAAGCTGTCCCCCCCTTTGAGTCTGAGGGCTTCACATCCCTATACAAAGGAGGCTGTGTTTTCCCGGAAGTGCTCTAGGGCAGTTAACTGCTCTCTCCAGCTAACTTTGGAACAATCTGTTTCAACATTTGGGATTTTCCCCAAATATCTTAATTAAAAAGAAAAGTAATACTTGAAGGGAACACAAAAGGTGTTTCTTTCTTCTTTTTTGCAAAGGAGAAAAAAACATTGATAAATCAGAAGAAGGAAATTGCACGATTATGTAAATATATGTTGTAGGAGAACATTTCCCCCAGCTGAATCCGGTTATTCGAGATGAAACATTATCTGTTGTGGAGTGGGCTCCCCTGGGTAAACTAACAAGGTACTTCAGGGAAAGATTTCTGTTACGGAGAATAAGGAGACAGAGGAACCGCCATTTTGTTCATGGTGTAATAAAATTGAGAGGGCCTTCTTTCTCGGAAAAATCCATGCACACCTTTTCTATCCCTTAATTTTAATAAATAGAAAGCAAAATCTATAAAGTTGAATATTTTTGAGTGTCAGACTAAAGATTTGTGATTGAATTATCAGTTTCCTCCCACAAACACTTTTACTTAATTTTACAATGTCCCGAGGTGTGTGGGTAGGACTGAGTATAGACCGTGGCACAAGAGAATCTGATTTACCTTTTTTATTTCATTCTGATTTTTTTTCATGTCTTTCCTTTGCTCATAAATTCACACTGAGATAGCTGTTTGCTCCATGAGAAAGAACACAATGTCACAGGTTAGGGATACTGATTAAGATTAATGAAATAGGATAGGAGCAGTAGTAATCACTCCCTTAGTGCCACCTTTTTTGCTTTTTCTTAAAGATGTACGTTCCAGTTATAGATCTCAAGTGTTGCATTAGCACTACTGATTTAACTGAAAGGGATTTAAACATGAGTCTAATTTGTAATTAAATCCAGTTTAAAATATTTAACTCTGGATAGATTGTAGCCATAAGCACTGTGATCATAACACAAAAGGATTTCAACAGATATTTCAGTATAACAAATTATATACAAAATATGTGACACACAATTTAGATTTGATGTATTTGCTCTGAGGTTGCACTAGATTTGTCAAAAGCATTATGCTTAATTCTTGCCATGAGAAGACAAGAAGAGAACATGACACTTGTCATTGTTACTGGAAAGACCTGTTTGCTGAGGAAAGTTGCTCTTTGTTTGTTGTTTTTGGCTCCAGGGCTCTAAGCTAGGAAGACATACCTTGACTGGAGCCATTGATAGACAAACAATAAAGAAAAAGACTCTCTGTCTTTTATCTTTGATACTTCCTGATTATGTATTTTCAGTTCCTATACTTCCAGATTCCTAGAGTCTGGTGCAAAGTAATACTGTTTGTTGCTTTTTTAATTTCCATAAATCCAAATCGATCACTGAATTAATATTGATTATGATCATATGAACTGTGGTGCTGGAGGAAAGTTCTGACAGTGCCTTGGACTGCGAGAAAATCCAACCAGTACATACTTCAGGAAATAAAGCCCGACTGCTCATTGGAGGGAAGGATATTAGAGACAAAGTTGAAGTACTTTGGCCATATCATGAGAAGACAGGAAAGCTGAGAGAAGACAGTTATGCTGGGGAAAATGGAAGGAAAAAGGAAGAGGGGCTGACCAAGGGCAAGATGGATCCTTGAAGTGACTGGCTTGACCATGAAGGAGCTGGGGGTGGTGACGGCCAACAGGGAGCCCTGGCGTGGGCTGGTCCATGAGGACACGAAGAGTCGGAAACGACTGAACAAATGAACAACATGATCATATTACAATAACTCAAAGTGCTTCACAATATAGAATTCAATCGATAGTTTTGGAAGATAGCATTCATAGCCTTTTGGAAAATGGCATTCATTACCATTTGAGAAAACCAGGAATCGTTTGGAAAGGCATGACTTTGTTAGAAATCATAACCTTTTGTAAAGTATGAGCTTCCTGAGAAGAGTTAAAAACTTGTTTAAATCAACCTTCTCATTAGTGGTAAATATCCACTAGTATTCATGGA